CCGCCGCCCACCGCCCCGCCCCTAACAACAGGAAGTCGGCCGCCACGACAGACTTTCCGCTTCCGTTACATCACTTCCGAGGTCAGCGCTGAAGCTGGGTGGTTCCCGCCCACCCGCTGCTCAGGTGCGGCTGGTCGCGCCCGTGTTGCGGGGCAGCTGGTGCCGAGGGTCGAGACCCGGGGCTGGGGCAGATCTGCAGGTGTTTCACTGTTGCCCTCAGACTAGGGGGGCGGGTGCAGGGAGGGCAAGTACTGAAGGTCTTGCCAACGAGCTTTAATGGCTGATTCATCGAACGGGAGGGCACTGGACTGGGCGCCAGACAACTGCCACTGACTTGCCCTTGTGATAATAGCAAGTGCACGTCTGGCTTGGGCCGAAGTGTTTTTTTTTTGGGGGGGGGGGGGTTAAAAATATATTTTATTGATTTTTCACAGAGAGGAAGGGAGAGGGATAGAAAGTCAGAAACATCGATGAGAGAGAAACATCGATCAGCTGCCTCCTGCACGCCCCCACTGGGGATGTGCCCGCAACCAAGGCACATGCCCTTGACCGAAATCGAACCCTGGACCCCCGAGTCCGCAGGCCGCCGCTCTATCCACTGAGCCAAACCGGATAGGGCTGGGCCAAAGTTTTTAACCGTTCTAACACGGGCGGCTTGCATTACATGATGCCCAGGGTCTCAGGGTGTGTGTTTGCCTGAAGCTTATAAGTTCTTAATACTGCATTCCCAAGGGCCAAGTGCAGATTCCTCCTTCACAGGAAGTCTGGCAGTAATTTCTTCAGGAAACCATTCCCCTGGGTCAGAACTTCTCTGTGCCCAGACCTAAATGCTAACACAGGCTGCATTTTACTTTGCACTAGATTTGTATCCTAACCTGTCCACTGTCAAAGTCCAAGTCTTTGAGGGCAGGCTCGTCTTCAGCTGCTCATTGTGTACAGCACAAGAGTACTTGATCTTAATTGAATTTCTACTTCGGATAAAAGTTGTTCATAGTCATATTAGTCATTGAACATTACCAGTTTTATAAGTATAATGTTATTCAAGGTATTGTAAACTGTAGTATGGTAATTTGGATGATTCAGCCTAGTGCTAACGAGGAACAGGTTGTGGTATTAATTCCCTTCCAAGTTGGCACTTAAGTGAAGGTCACATACACAAAGGGTATAATCGAAACCACGTGAAAGCATCATTATAAATCATTGCATGCAAACACAAAAACTGTATTGCTTTTAAAAATATGGACACCATACGTTAGTAAAGCATACAGTTCGTCAAAGGAAACTATAAGGCAGTCTATCTTGCCACTGCACCTCTTTTAAGTCGCTTAAAAGCAATCTGGTTTTCAAACAGCTTACTCAGGAGTACCTTCGCTTAGGCAGGGAAAGAGAACGTCCGGCCCGCCCATGGGCTGTACAACGCCTGAGAAATCATTTGGTCTGGCCCTGCCAAGGAATTGGGGGTGAGTAAATTAAATGTCTGACCACATATAGTAGGCAAATTTTTAAGTTGATAATTTTGCATGACCTCAAATGATGTTATAAATATCCAAATGGCTCTTGGCAGAAAAAAGGTTCCCCACACCTAATTTAGAGCAACTATGCTTTTATTAATTAGGGGAGCGCAATTAATAAAAAGTTTTCTTGCTAAAAATATTTTTTTAAAGTTTGCAAACAATTAACAAAATCCAGTCTCTTCATTTTGCACTTAAGCCACTTAAAATGAAATAACTAAATATCTTGGGGACTATAGAATTATATGAAAGGATCTTTCTCTTCAATCTGAATAAATTTCCTTCCATTCAATAAATTAAACATCTCCCGGTAATTTTAAAGTCAAAGTTTATTTTTTTTCATAATTTTTGACATTTAAGGAAAATCGCAATGTAAAACTGGAAAAATAAAATATTTATTTCTGCTACAATATCAAAGAATCATTTTAATCCAAGCATCACTAAAACTTAGAACAAGAGACATTGCATGATTTTGGAAAAATAAAAAAGTGAAACTTAATAGCAGCATCACAAATGTCAAATTATTACCAAATCATAGTGAGATGGTGGTGGTACTGCTTCTTGACTTGTATATGGAATTTACAACATAACTGATAATATTCAACACTCAAGGAACTGTCTGATAGAATTACTTCTATGCTGTGGGCTTCTGTAGGGCAAGGGCTGTTTCTCATCTTTGAATATTCAGATTCTAACATAGTACTTGGAATAATAATAGGTGCTCAATAAATATCTGTTGCATTGTCATGTTTCTATAATTAATGTAGCAAATTCTTGGCAATTCATCTATAATACAGTATCTTGTGGTTAGGTTTATGTTTTAGAGCATAGTAGACAGTAAAATTATCTAATTTCTCATTAGGTATCTGATATTAGAAAAGGCTAGTTGTATTTCTAAAAAACATAAGAATCGTTCTTTCAGTTTTACTTTCCTATCTCATACAAATGGACAATGAGGATACATTGTTAGAGTAACACCAAAATAATCTACCCATCTAGTGAACTTACACCAGAACTAATGCTCATCTCTCTCAAATGTCCAAGGTTTTTATACTAGTTAATTCTGGTGGGAATCTTTCCAAGCATATTACTTTCCTACTTTTTAAACAGAGGATATAATATGAACTGAATTATATACTGAATATACTCTCATCTTAATGATTTAAGCTCATCATTATAAACATTATTGTACCAAATCAGCATTAGATCAACGGTTTCCTCTCTATCTAGGATGTATCTGTCCTTTAAACCATTGGGCTCCTATCTCTCTGACCATTTATTTATGATATGCTTTCAAAGCACCTGGAATTCTTCGCAGAACTTATTACATTTTCAATTGTATATTTATTTGTGACATTTGATCACTGTTTATGCCATACTAGATTATAAGGACCTTAAGGGCTTGTACCTAACCCAGGTTTGCTCACCACTGTACCTGCAGTGCCTAAAAATGCAGTGCTGCGGTATAGTGGGCTCCCAGTCAATACTACCTGAATAACCAAATAAATAAGCACCTACCGCAGTGCATACCCCTCTCTGCCATTTGCTGAGGGAAAATCTGGGAAGTCAGGGAATCAATCTTTCTAAAAACTACGTTGGGGGGGGGGGTCAGCTCCTACATGAGAATGGAAGGTACAGAACCCCAGCTTTAGGGGCCTGTGGTGACTATTTTGGCTATTAGGCCTTTTCCCTCTACTAGCAATTAGAAAAAGTAGAGGTTGTATGGATAAGTGCCCTTTACCCATGAGATCTTGGTCACTAAAGCTCAGTTTCCTCATCTATAAAATGAGGATGATAATCCCCACCTCAATGGTTTACAGTGAGAATTCAACAAAATAATAAAGTGCTCATCACACTACCTGAAACATCAAGTGTTGATGTTGGTTGTTACTATTAGTTGTATGCCACCTCAGTAATGATATGCAATCTTTCACATATGAAGATATTGTTATTGAACCATCACCAAAGCATATGTACTCTGTTTCTTTAGGAATTGTTAAAGGATCTGCTCAGAATAATCAGTTCATCCAACCTCTCCCCCTTTAAAACCAATGGCTTTTATGACAACCTCATATTTTAGCTTAAAAGTAAACTGCTTGGCTTTCATTCACAATCTATTTTCACTGAAAATACACATTTCTCTATGATTCTACTAATATTACTGTGAATTTATGAGATGTTAGAACTCTGATAGCCCAGAAAGAGGTTATAGAAAATTTCAAAAAGGACAGTTCCACTGGAAGGTAAACTATACTTTTTCTTCATATATTAAAAAAATTCACTTTCCCTTTTACTATTTTAAAGTACATGTAAAATTCTTTTCCATTGTTTGGTAGCTAATTAATTGAAGAAGGAAAACAAAATGCTTTATTACCATTACTACCAACTTTATTTTTATACCTTAAATTGTGGATCCTTTGACTATATACCTAGCACAGATTTGGCAAATCCATACTGACCCTTTGACTTAGCATGTTTACTGTAACAGTTGAAGAGTACTTTTCTTCTAAAAATATATTACTTTCAAAATATTCCCAAAGTGCTGAATGTGCTTTCAGTTGAGGATACATAATTTTACATGATGCATTTTGCAGATAAAGTTCATCTCTGCTATAGGTTTAAAGAATATCTATATATAAAAGGCTAATATGCAAAGTGTCTCCTCGGGAGTTCGACTGGGAGTTCGATCGCTTGCTATGACGTGCGCTGACCACCAAGGGGAAGTGCGGAACATGGCAGGCGACCAGTGGCAGTGGCGGGGCGCTAAGGGAGCGAGGGAAGGAGGAGGCAGGGAGACGGGGAGGCAGGGACCCTGATTGGCTCTGATTGCTGGCCAGGCCTAGGGACCCTACCTGTGCATGAATTTCGTGCACCGGGCCTCTAGTAGTTATATAAAGAACAACAAAGAAAATCAGATTTTCCCCCTCCTTATCTAACTCCCTAAGAATTCAAATTACAAAAAAACAAAAAACCATCTACCTTAACCAAGCAGTTTGTAAGGATAAGTAATAAGATACAGAAGTTCTCAACCCTATATATGTTGGCAAAATTAAATGACGCTTCCCTCCAGGTAGCTGTGAACTTTGGACTTAAAGTTTTAACTGTTGCTGGAGATCACAGAGTGAGGAGGCGCTGCTCTGGAGCTTCTCAGTCACTCTGTCTTCTTGCACTGTGCTTTTGATGACTTCAGATACCCCACTGGTTCCAAGGATGCAAGGCAAACTTAAAAACACTTCACTATTTATATCATAATATCCCTGAAATGAATAAAATTAGATTATAATAGAGCTAAAGCACAACAAACAAGTTAATATCATAAATATGGTTACTTTCTTGCTTTTATAGCCGTAGTACAAAGTTGAACTTAAGAAAAAAAATTGTTCATTTATTTTCTAAATTCAAGTTATTGTTTCAGATATTTTTTGTGAGATGGGAGGAACTTGGTCAAAGATATCCCCTTTATGGGAAGAGAAGCTAGCCCCCTGCAATATGAATAGCAAGTTGGGGCAAAGAAAAAAGACTGTTAGAATAGATTCCCAGGGGAGGGGCACAGAATGGGCTCTGGGTACAGTCCAATGTAATAACCTGTTTTAAGTTCTCCTTTCCATGTTTTATTTCTCCTGGAATTCCTAAGTTTTCAAGAAGATTTGGTTAAGCATTTGTGCCTGTCTTAGTGGTGCTTGAGATGAAGTGGTAAAGGACAACTGAGCCGGAGAGTGCAAACTGATGAACAGCTAAGACTGGTGACACATCAGTCTGGGGTGACCTGGCTGGCTAAGGTGATAAAGGACAACCAGAAGGACTTTATGGAATATATAAATGCTTCTTAGGAATTCCCCAAAATTACATGGGGGTGAAGAGAAACATAGAAGTGCAGAATTTCCATAGCCAAGCAGGAGAGGGATTAGACCAAACTGTTTCCCTTCCATGTATTACTCTAATATTGAAGATACCTCATTACAATATGAATAGCATCTTTTCAGGTTTTAAGCTAATAATATAAAAGTTTAACCATATGATGAGAGAATGAGAATAGCAATTACCTTTGCTAAAGTTGATACAGAATGCACTTTCTTTCTATCATTTATAAGACTGTCAACCAGGTCAGCTACTGATAGTCCAACAGACCAGGATCTTTGACCTTTTACCTTTAATAGTTCCATGGCTCTAGGTTATGGAAAAAAAATCAATTCAGAAAATGAATAAAATATGCATTTAGTCTTTCAATTTAAAGTATTAGTTACATATTTTTATAACACAGAAATATGAGTTATACACTAATTGTTAGGAAAATCCACAGATAAACTAATGATTAAGGTTTTCTTAAAATGTTGGATAAGCAGTTCACAGAAGGACAATAAAAATGACTTAACATAAAAAGATGCTCTACCACTACTACTATTTAACTAAATGTGAGTTGAAACAATACATCAGTTTTGCCTAACAAAATTGGCAAATATTTAAAAAAATCGGTAACTACTTTTAGAGAAGCTACAGAGAAAAAGGCATTCCCATAACTGCCGGTGAGAGTATAAGGTGATACAATTTTTTAGGAGAAAGATTTGGCAACATTTGATCTAGAAATTCCTCTTCTAGGAATTTGTCCTACAGCAATATGCTCAAATGTGCAAAGACATACATATAATTATGTTTGCCTTGTCTGAGACAGAAAAAATTTGGACACAATTAATCAAAAGTGAGTTAAATAAATCTCTATCTAATGTAGCTCTAGAGAAGAATAAAGTAGATTTATATGGGCAATATGGAAAATGTCCAAGATTTATTATTAAGAAAACAAAGCGCCCTAACCGGTTTGGCTCAGCGGATAAAGCATCAGCCTGCGGACTCAAGGGTCCCAGGTTCGAGTCCGGTCAAGGGCATGTACCTTGGTTGCAGGCACAACCCCAGTGGGGAGTGTGCAGGAGGCAGCTGATCGATGTTTCTCTCTCATCGATGTTTCTAACTCTCTATCCCTCTCCTTTCCTCTCTGTAAAAAATCAATAAAATATATTTAAAAAAAGAAAGAAAAGAAAACAAAGCAAGATAATATGAATAACATAAATCTGTTATAATAAAAATAATAAAAAATGATGTTTGCAGAAGCATTGAAAGAAATGTTTGAACATATGGGCACTAAACTGCTAACAGTGGTTCTTAGAGAATGGAATTACCCCAGCTTTTCACTTCCTGCTTTATAGATATCGACAGCATTTACAGTTTTATAATAGTACACATTGTTTTGGTAACTAATAAAACATGATATAAAATTTAAAAACATGTTTGAGTTTCTTCCTTTTAAAAGCTATAAATGCAGGTTTACATAAAGAATCAGGTTAGAATGGATTGTGCAACATACTCCCCTTATCAATAAGAGAATATTCTTTCCAGTTAAGAACTATATGCTGAAGTTTTAAAAAGCTAAAAATCTCCACCACTCAGACTGTAGGAAAGTATGTCATTATATGATGGTGAAACAACAAATGGTGTGAAAATATATGTAGAGTCCAACCTATAAGCTCTATACCCCCAGAAGGCCTCTGAATAAAGCAAAAGATACAAGGATCTGTGCATTATACTTTGTTTTTGCCTGCACTTATAATATGGCTTATCCATTCGTGTTAGACTAATTTCTAAATGTATTTATGTGTGATTAATAAGTACATTTCAAATTTTAAGTGGTATGAGAAGTTTTCCTCTACATTAAAGAAAATTGTCAAGCCCTAACCGATTTGGCTCAATGGATAGAGCGTCGGCCTGCGGACTGAAGGGTCCCAGGTTCTATTCCGGTCAAGGGCATGTACCTTGGTTGTGGGCACATCCCCAGTGGGGGATGTGCAGGAGGCAGCTGATCGATGTTTCTCTCTCATCGATGTTTCTAACGCTCTATCCCTCTCCCTTCCTCTCTGTAAAAAATCAATAAAATATATTTTAAAAAAAAGAAAATTGTCAATATCCTCAGATGTTTAGATATGGGAGCAGTAAATCACTGTCTATAAATCAGGAACCTGTTCAACATTTAAAGAAATGTCAAGTGTGTATCTGAAGTAAAGTTTGCAAAGCACTCTGATCCATTTTCAGATAAGAAACAATAGAAAACATTGCTCCCTTGTATTTTTGGATTTGTCCATACTAGCTAGTTTTGTCTGCAGGAGCCTGGTAAGTAAATGTTAGTTAGAGAAATATAAATTTACACTCAGTGTTACCTGCTGGACAGCTGCACCTGAGAGTTATGACTCATGACTTCTTCTTGGCCACCCCATTTGGTAACTAAAAAGTAAAAAATCAATTATATTTTGTTAATAACTCTTTTAGGATTAAGATGTGATAAATGATTGTTTGCCATCAAGGGTACCCACCTTCTAGCAATAGTTACATTTTCCACTAATGACACTAAATGTGCTGTAATGACAGCTGGGGTAAGACTTTGAGCTGCAATCCCCAAAACACATGACCCCCAAAGTCTACCTGCAGCCTCCTTACCTGTTCTCTCTCATCAACAATAGTTCTACCTGGGCTATTTTACTGTCCAAATAGAAAGCCTTCCTTCCTCAGCAGGCTGCGAATAACAGGCTCTCAAGTATTACAAACACTTGGTATTTGTTCTGCTGGGACCCACACAGACTAATTTCTTTCACCAGATGAGGAATAATTTCACTATCTATTCTAGGCTAGATTTCAAACTTCCTAAATGTAAATCCATGCTAGTTTAGGGAGCCCTTTTAAATATTGTATCTAATATCCTAATCTTTTTGGTTCCATTCTTCAAGAACAATAATCCTCTGGAGCCCAAAATTTGAATGAAAAATGACCACGGGACAGCACTTTTCCTTTACATATAACACCTTCCCCTTCGGTAAGATGGATGTGTACGTAAAGCAGATGATCTAACACTCTGTCCTGAGGTCCAGCCTTGGATTTCTAGAACACCATTGGAAGGAGCTACCTGCAGTTTACATATGATATCAATATCACAGCTGAAAATAGCTGCTCCAAAGTACATGTTTTGCTGACTATCTAATTTGGTATGGCATAATATGGATGACCTTTGACCACAAAATGGTGTCAGGATCATCCCTTCATCTCAAAACACATTTACTGAGACCATTCCAAGGAACCTACAGTCTTGTGGGGTAAGACTGGTCAGTATGCAGTTATAACATAGTGTGATAGTGTTTATAATAGAGGCATAAACTTACTTAACCTGGATAATTAGGAAAGGCTTCCTGGGAGAGGTGGCACTCAAGCCCAGTCTTGAAGGGTAAGCAGAAGGTAGCCAGTGAATGAATATTCAGGGAAAGGAAGCATCAGGTGCAAAGGCAGGGAGACATAAGAGTGCATGAACCATTCAGGAAATTGCAAGTTGACCATCTGACTAGCATAGAATGCCTGGCTGAATGGCAGAAGATGAAGCTGGGGAAGGAAGCAGGAAACAGATCCTAAAGCATTTTGTATGTTATATGATTTCTCCCTAGGCTGTAGTTGCCACTTGTCTCTGAAATAGTTGGAGAATAATTTTACTTACACACCTGCTATTATTATGTTCCCAAATCCTAATGTTGCTTTACTGCAAAACATAGTTCTACATGTTTTTACCAATTTTTTATTCATAACCATCTTGCTGATTACTGTAATAACAGCTACTATTTACTGAGTGTTTACTTGATGCCAGACACTACTAAATGCTTTAAGTAAATTATCTAATTAAGTCACAGCAAGAAAAAGCACAGCTTTGGAGTCGACCAGGGTTCAAACCTCAATTTTGCCATTACTACATGTGTAACCACAAACAAATTAGTCAACCTGAGTTTTAAGCTTTCTGATATATTAATTTGGAAAACCACCATCTCCTTCTTAAGTTGAGATATGCAAACCATTTAATACACATAGTATCCACTCAATCTATATATATAAAAGCCTATGTAACCAAATGACCAGTCACTATGATGCGCACTGACCACCAGGAGGCAGATGCTCAGTGCACAGGATTGGGCTCCCTCCTGTCTGGATCGGGTCTGTGGGGATGGGGCTAAAACTGGCTATCTGACATCCCTTGAGTGGTCCCAGATTGTGAGAGGGTGCAGGCCAGGTGAGGGCCTCTAGTATAATTATAAATGCTATTACTGTGGTAGTATCACTTATACAAAAATATAACCAGTTGATATCTATAAAACCAGCAGAGGGAGCCTCTAATCCATTTCTGGCTTCAGGGCCAAGCTAAGTATACCAATCCATTGCTATCACTATCTCTGAAAACAAATAGAAAACAGGATAAAAAGTGATCTGATAGTGGTATCTAAATGAAAGGTAGGGTTGGGGAGTACATAGGTAGTTTCAGTGGTATCGGTACTGTTCTTAATAATTGAGTGTGAATTCATTGAGTGTGGATACATATATATAAGTAGTCATTTGCAAGTTAGGAATGTTTATTCTATTATGCTCTAAAACAGCGGTTCTCAACCTGTGGGTCGCGAACAATGAAAATACACCCTGCATATCAGATATTTACATTACGATTCATAACAGTAGCAAAATTACAGTTATGAAGTAGCAACGAAAATAATTTTATGGTTGGGGGTCACCACAACATGAGGAACTGTATTAAAGGGTCGCGGCATTAGGAAGATTGAGAACCACTGCTCTAAAACATATATATACATTACATTATATACTTTTGTATGTGTCAAATATTACATATTATACTTAAGTAATCTCAATTCTCATGTACCTACATCCCTCTATTTCTAGTTCCCATTTGAGAGCTGAAGACAAATTTACCATAATATTCCTTATGCTTTTATCCTACTTCCCTTAGGCCTTTCTCATAGGAAGTCAATACTGCCTTCTATTACAGTCATTTCCTATATTATATGCTAAGCTTCCCAAAAACAGGGTCAGGTTCTTATACATCTATACAGCTCTAACAGCAGTCAGCATAGTGTCTTAGGTTTACTTATTGTCACACCATCCTTTATTTTCTCTTTACAATTTGTGATATTAATGAAACCATATTTATGAAATGTTCTAATGCATTAAAAAATTGTAACCTATTAGGGGGACTGGTTAAATAAATTTTGATATATCCAGTAGTTAAAAAGAATGAAATGCATATATAGTAGTCATTTGCAAGTTATCAATACGTAAAAGGGCAAGGTAGAGAATAATGTATGATATATACATTTATACATCTGCTTCTCTATGCACAGAACATTTCTGTAAGATTACATAAGAAACTGGTAGCTGTGATTGCTTTTAGAGAAAGGGGTGTCTGGCATACAAGGGAGACTTATTTTTCATTGTATACCTTTTTGTACTATTTAAATTTTTTTGCGATGTGAATGTATGATTTTTTTCAACTAGAAGAACAGCTTAATAATTTACACTTTTAATAAGGAGAAGGTGCAAACACAAAATTCAAACTGGATCAGAATAAACAGCAGTTTCACAAAAGAATAAGCATCGTGAGACAATATATGGTTAGTCACCATATAGCTAACAATAACTTTTAGCTCAAAAGACTGAAAAAAATCACTGTGGAGTGATGTGATCTGGAAAAGTTTCATAGTGTAATAAGGGGGGTTGGACCGAAATCTTGAAGGATGAGATTTAAATCTGCTGAGAGAGAAGGAGAAGGGATTAGGAGGAAAATGAGGTGGGCAAAGATCCCTGTGGCTGAAGCACAGCTGTAGAGTGGGGCTAGGCAGCACAAGCCCTGGGTTTTAGACCAGGAAAGCTATAGGCTCCTGGGCAGGTCACTCTTACCATCCCTGTATCCATTTCTGGGTTCTTAAAACAAAGTGTAACTGATGATCCCTTGGGTTCCTTCCAACTCTTTAATCACATGACTACCTCCATAACTATAACTGTGAAGGAAAATGAGGGCATTCCTTGAATACTGTGGGACTCCTTGAATGCCAAGCAAAGGAATTTAATGGTTGGATCAGAGAAAGCCAGTAAACATTTTTGGAAGGAGGTATACGATTTAGGAAGACTGAATTATAATGAAAGCATTTGTAAGCACCATGTTAAGTTTTGGCTAATATCATTATTAATTTGGCAGACTAGAGGAGAAAGAGCAAACTAACTGGGAGATTTACAATAACCAGATAAGCAAAAGATCAACCTGGACCAGAATTCAAATGGAGTAGTGAGTAAAATTCAGGTCTTGGGTTTGTTTGAATCCCTAGACATTCATTACTCTTAATACATCTGGCTCCAAGTTCTTGTTTACTACCTTTTTCTAGGGTCCTATTGATTAATGTTTAGCATTTTGAACCTGGAAAGTATTTCTGCTTGAATTACACTGTCAGGCTTTGTAAAAGTTTATTCTATAGCACTGAACTCTCTAGGTAGCCAGTGCAGATTTATACATATTTAAAATACTACTGTATTTTATTAAAATAATTTTCTTAAAAATTATACAAATACCACATATCCATAATAACAAAATTAGAAAACACAGAAAAGTACACATTTTAAAAAGTTACTTCTATCCCAGACATAACAGCTGTTAATATTTGGCATCAAAGCATATAGGAAGCTTTGAAGAAATATAAAACTTGACTAAGGAGTCTTGCCTAATTGTAAACTTACAGAAAGGTAAATATAAGTAGGATAACACATTTGAGGTATCTATTCACTAGACAGAGATGTTACAGAAAAGGCACCCAAATGTGGAACAAAACCCAACTAAGCTCCACAATTCTTGAGTCCCCAGTTATATCTGAATATCATGGCCACTAGTGATTTAGGTTATCAATATAACTAGTAAAAATGTACTTCTTACCTTTGTCTTCTCCCTGCTCACCAATAACCCACACTGGCTTTCCTGAAGTCTCTGCCTTTAAAACATTTGTAATAATATACTGTAACCTCTGTGAGTCCAGATTGCATCCAATTCCAATTACTCGATTTGCAGGAAATGCACTCAGTTTCCATGTCACATAAGTCATGATCTCCACTAAATATTGCACACAAGGTAAAAATGTAAATATTTTAAAAAACATACTTCTAGCCTAGTTCATAAACAAATATTATTTTAATAAGTATATTAGAACTTGTATATATTCTTCTTAGGTCCTAAAAGCACTATAAGGTATATTTCTAACGTATATTTTTTAAAAACCACCAGGTTTCAGCATGATTTAACATAACTTTGTTGCTAAATATAAAGCGGAGAATAATTTCCTAGAATAGTTAAGCAAGAAGGATAAAAACCGGGTACAGAAAACCAGAAGATAATTTTTTTTCATTGATCAAGTTATCTTTTATATCTATCTTAAGCTGAGTTTCTATCTTTAAATTAAAATACTGATTCATATACCACCACTATGTGGTATAGGATTATGAACAAAAACACAACTACTTTTTTTCTACTATGCCAAAAGGATGTCAAGAATTAAAGAGACCAGAGTTCCTCAATTACTATAAGAAAAACAAGTGAAATGCATGCCATACTCCTACATGGGGAACCTGTAAAAAAATCTGTTCACCAACTTGAGGCCAGTACCACATCTAACTCTTTAAAAAATATTTCTTTCTTAAGTAAAACAGTTTCAAATAATTTAAATTCAAAATGTTAAAAATGTACTCTGGCATGCTCACTAACATTGTATGACACTTCAGAATTAGAAAAAGCTCTTTCACATAGCCACTGCATTTTTCTCTTGGGAGTTTAACCATTTTCTCACTGAAAAGCATGGCTAATAACCTGGAACATAATAATAGTAGTATAATATAAAAATTATAATTTATAACCTTCTAGTTAATGCTAGTCATAAGAAGTCACTGTATGACAGGATATGGAGATACTGTATTGTTCATTATAAGAGCAATTTAATGGACTAGTCATCCTTTTATAATCCAGTTTTATGACTTTTATCAGTAATAGCAATTCTACTGATGCACTGGATCATCAAATTCATTTAAAATAAAACCTATTACCTGGTTGAGATGCAACAAGCAGGACACTGTGTTGACTATAATGTCCCAGAGCTGGGACAAGGGCTCTGAACATATCCACATTTCTCTGCACCACATCAAGGTAGGACTGAGAACTACCCAAAGAGTTAACGGTAAAGATGACCACTTTGGAATGAGCAGAGGCAGACAAATCTAATGAATAAAAAGAAACAGTCTGAGCTCAAGGTATATGTTTTAATCAAGTTTGTGTTCATAAAGAAGATTTTTCTTCTCTCCAAGTAGAGACCTTTTCTGCACACCTACCTCCAGATCAATCTTATCTCAATAGGAAGTATACAAAGTGCTGAAGTTTGCCACCAGAAAGAGAATTAAGAGCAACAGTGTATTCCAAGGGGGGAAAGAGAGCAATAAAGATAAACCAAACAAATTACAGGATCCAGAACCCACAAAAAAGGAATTTATTTTTATTTAATCCATCATTTTATTAGGGAAAATAAATATGTTATAGGCAAAATAAACTTAAAATCAATTACATCACTCATTTTAAACTTTTAGCTTAGGTGTCCTAAAGTTCCTTAAAAGTGATTCAGGGGCCATCTGGGAGGACTGGGAATAAGTGAAAAGAAGGCTGGTAGGCATGGCTCCAGGCCATTTATTTCAACTTCTCCAAGCAGAGTAATTCTGCTGTATCTATTTTATTTATTAAGGAAGGATTCTACTCCAAAGAGGGGATAAAAATGGTTTGAAAATCTTTAAATGAAGATAAAATGTCTCGGCTCATTTTTTACTGACTTTTTCTTATACTGAATGAAGCCCAGAGTCGTTGGGTTTAGATTCTTCTTTCAATAGAAGTTAACGCATAAGCAACTGTTATGACTTAGGAAAAGCTATTCTCTGGAGTTCACTGCTGCCCAACTGGAGTGGTTCAGTTTTGAGCATTGTCCCATGCACCAAAAGGTTGCTGGTTCAATTCCAGTCAGGGCACATACCTGGGTTGTGGGTTCAATCCTCCTCGGTCAGGGCACATATGGAAGGCAGCTGATTGATGTTTCTCTCTCCCTCTCTCTCCTTTCCTTCCTTTCTTTCTCTCTCTAAGCATGTTCTCAAATGAGATTTTAAAAAAAACAACCACTGGTTTTGGAGTTCACTGCTATGATCCTCAAACATACACATGCTATTTTACAACATTACTTTCTGTTACACAGTGTGTTTTAGTATATGTGCTGCCGAAGCGAGCACAACACAGTGTGTTTTAGAGTAAGTACATGCCAAAACAGTGGCCAGACATTAGCAACATCAGATACAACAGAAAAATAATGAAGCAACTAAAATGGTATCAGTTTAATCAACCTTTGTAAATGAATACTGGCATCCCAGGGAGACAATGAGTAGATGCCAGGGTTTAGTCTTAATGAAGCCTCTAAGGCCATCTTTCTACACAAGTTTATGTGCAATGTGTCCACTGGGAAATGCACTACCCAATTTTAGTTCATTATCTAATGCAACTGTGGGGATGGTAGCTCCAAAAACTGACTCATGGATTTTAATTATGGTTCTTCATAAACTAAAATTAATTCCTGTGTTTTAGTGTTCAAAATAGGTATCTGGTGATCAGTCAAAATCTCAAGAATTAGAAGACTGTAGAACTGGAAGGGATATAGTTAACACTTCCCTACCACTTTTGTGTGTCAGGTATTGTTCTAAGAGCTTTCCCTATATTTACTCATTTACTCTAAGCTACAAGACACTATGAAATTAATATGATCCCCATTTGACAGATTTGAGGCACAGAGAAGTTAAGTAACTTGTTCAAAGTCATAGAACTAGTAAGTAGCAGAGCCAGAATTTAAGCCCAGGCAGTCTGGCTACAGAGTGCTGTTTAGCACTGTGCTATATTTACAGATTTAGTCCTATACCCTCATAAAGATGAGGAAATTGATACCTGGAAAGATTAGGTGGCTTGTCAATATTATTAATATCAGTAAATAGTTCAACTTATGATCCTATAATTTGGCATCAGCCTACCTTGCCAGGAACATTTCTTTTCTTTTCCCCCTTTAGCTTCCTCTACTTTGAATGATAAAAATGCCTCATACTCAAGGCTGATCATTAGTGAACAGAGTAGAAGCTGTCTAATATTTCAAAAGTGCAAGAAAGGCTTCCTACTCCATATGTCAAACTTCCAAGCATCTGTAATTTTAAAAAGCACCTCAGGTGATTTGGACACAAGTTATCAATCCATAAACCATGTTTTAGGAATCAATGGCTATTGAGTTAATTTTACTTTGCTAAGTTTTAGAACTATTGAACACTTTTTTCTCCATGCACACACATGCTTATACCTCTACACACAAATATTTATGCTTGTATATGCAGAGACTATTCCTGGAGTAAATAAGAAATTGGTAATAAACATATGTTTGAAACCCAAGCTAAGCCCCTTACTGTGTGACCAAAGCCACGATCTCTCTGAATCATTTATAAAATAAAGTAAGAGGAGTAAGAAACTATAAATATATATAAAATATCAACATGTTATTGATTCCCTAAAATAATGGCAGTGAAATAAGCATAATAGTGTCTTCAGTCAGAAAATGACATGATTAAAATAATACCATAGGAGAATTATTCCATTAGCTGTGTTTAACAATGAATAAAAGTAAATGAGAGAATGGAAACAGGAACCCTCATACACAGCTAGTGAGAGTATAAATAGGTACCAACTTAAAAAAAAATTTTTTTTAAACGCATCCCTTTTGACCCAGTAATCCTACTTTATCCCACTAGTTAGAGAAGTGCACAAAGATTTTTGCATTACAATGTTCTCTGAAGCATTATTTGTAATCATAAAAATACAAACAACATGACCTGGCTGGTGTTCTCAGTGGTTAGAGCATCAGCCCACCACTAAAGGGTCTTGGGCTGGATTCCCGGTCATGGGCACGTACCTGAGTTGCAGGTTTGATCCCTGGGCTAATTGGGGTGCATGTGGGAGGCAACCAATCAAGGTGTCTCTCTCACATCAATGTTTCTCCCCACCCCCATCTTTCCCTCCCTTCCACTCTCTCTAAAATAAATAAATAAATAAATGAATGAATGAATGAATGAATGAAAATATCCTCAGGTGAGGATTAACAAAAATAAAATAAAATATCCATATGGAGCAAAGTAACAACTCTAAGATGATCAGTCAATTGCAATCATCAGTGATGGTTATGACGGGAACATTACTAAAATTTCCAAATGAGTTTAATTTCCCAAAATTATTAATGCACTTTTTCATAGCATAGAATATATTTATGAAATGTTAGTTAACATTGTATTTTAAATTACTTCATGTCATAGTAATTAAATATTATCAGGAATGTGCAACCAAAATTAACATGGGCAACATGAAACTTGCCCCAAGATAGTGTATACTCATTCAAAATTTCCTATTTGGTGGCAAGCACCATGCTCTATATATCTATTCCAAGGATTCTATACTTTCAATGATCTAAAACAATAGTTATTGATGGTTAATGAGATACATAGGAAGAAATAATTTCCTCATGTCTTAAGTGGCCTCACAACTTCTAGGGCCCATGTACTAACAGTTCCCTAAAGTACTTTGGAAGAGTTAGATGTCCCTTAAGAACTTCAGTACCTAGAAATGACAGGCACAAGAGAATATCCAGCTCCCCCAGGAATCCTCTTTATGAGGCCTACAAAAGGATCATTAAAGCAACTATTCTACTCTTTCTAGAAAAGGAAAATTAACTCATTGTGTCCTATAGGGATCTAGAGGCTTCCTAGAATTGTTACACCAATTTTTATAACCTAAAGGTATTATATCAACTTTTCTGACCCACTGTTGTTCTTAGTACATTTAAGCTTGTGAAACCATTATGTCTCAACATTTTATTTGGAAAACATGGTCAAGGAATACAAGGGACCCAAGTAAGGAAAGGGAAAGGAAAGCCAAACAACTACAACATGTTACAACCTGACTTTTGCTATAACCTAAATTTGGAAGGTTGGAGTAAACAATTTTTAATTCAATGGTCTTCCAATTTTTTTGATCATGCATCCCTGATGATGATGATAATAATAATAATAATTTGTTAGTATATAATTTTTTAATTTGTTGTTGTTGTTAATCCTCACCTGAGGATATTTTTCCATTGAGTTTTAGAGAGAGTGGAGGGAGGAAGTGAGACAGAGAGAGAGAAACATCTATATAAGAGAGACACATCGATTGGTTGCCCCCCACATGGGCCCTGACCAGGGCCGGGGATCGAGCCTGCAACTGAGGTACATGTCCTTGACTGGAATCAAACCTGGGACCCTCAGTCTGAGGGTTGATGTTCTATCCACTGAGCCAAACCAGCTAGGGCTAAAATATTTTTAAGTTCACATCCTCAAATAAAGCATTTACCTACAGATATATGTCTGCACTAATATATTACACACATTATAAAGTACATACAAAATTTTCACATTAAAAATATAAGATAAAATTATTTTTAACATTAAATTTTTATCTATTGCTACAAAACCCTTTCTGTTGTTATTAAAACTTATTTTAACAATGTATTTTTAGGGAAAGCAATGTTAACTAAATTTTTAGAAAGAATATTGGTTTAGCACTTTTGCTATATACCAAGAAGTACGTATTATTCCCACTTTAGAGATGATAAAACTGAACTTTGAGATTATATAATCTGACAAGTGTCAGAGCTATAATGTGGCAGAATTAGGATGCAAACTCCATCTTTCCAACTCTAAGACCAGTATTCTTAACCAATATTTCATACTAAAGTGAGACACATAGAAAGAAACAGTTTCCTCATATCCTAAATGGCCTTACAACCTCCAGGGTCCATGTACTAAACAGTGTCCTAAAGTGATTTGAAAGAGGAAGAGAATAAATCCCTCTGACCAATCTGAATATTATTTGCTTATCTGGCTCTTGTTAATATAATCAGTTGCAGTCCCTGTATGACTCTGAGTAAATCACTTAACTTATTTGAACCTTAGTTTCCAAATATGTAAATTGAGGGATTTGGACTAGGTGATCTTTAAAGTACCTTCAGTATTAAAATTCTAGTACTCTGGGCAGAGCACAGAGGATTTTTAGGCAGTGAAACAACTCTCTATGATACAATAATGGTGGATACATGTCATTATAGATTTGTCCACATCCATAGAATGTACAATGCCGAGAGTGAATCCTAATGTAAACTATGGATTTTGAATGATAATAATGTTCCAGGTAGGTTTATCAACTGTATCACTAGGTAGGAGATGTTGACAATGGGGGAAGCTATGCATGTGTGGGAGCAGGGGGTATATATGGGAAAATTCTGTATCTTCTGCTCAATAATGCGCTGAACCTAAAACAGCTGTAAAAAATACAATTTATTTAAAAATTCCAGAACTTAAATACAAGAGCAAATGAGGCATACATCTGTTAAGCAGAGAAACCACACCTTTGCTGATCTCCACATTAGGCAGGTTGAAGATCTCAAGGTCCATCATCCCTCCTTTAGTCTCTTCTGAGAGGTCTAAGAGGACAAGTCTGTCTGCAATGCCCTGTACAGTACAATAAAAAAAGAAGAGCATTACACGGGGCATGTCCGGTTACTCAATTTAAATTCATTCAGAAGTAAGGGCTAAGGGAGAATGCAGAGGTGTCATATGCTGTCTTAGGAATCAAAAGTAACACAATAATAATGAAAGGGACATGCAAGCAAGAAATTATTATGAATACTGTGATCCTTTAGGCTTGACTGGAAACCAAGGTGATGGCATATGCTGGAAGCAAGATCTCAAATGCTCTCTCTAATCTTTAAAATATCCTTATATTTTTACATATTGTATCATTATCCTACATGTACTAATAAACTTATAGGGTAATTTATATAAATGAGATTGATGGATTAAAGGAGTTATTGTGTTTTTTATTGTCATTTATTACTATAAATGACAACATGGAACATCCTAAAAGTCTGATTACCTTTGTGGAAGGTCTTTTTCCAAAATAGTAAGGGATTCAAGGCTCTCTCCTATCTTAGAGTGCAGGGGCAAGAGTCCCCAGGGATCTACCTGACTACTGGGAAGGAAGTGTGGAAGTTAAGAAAACAACCCAGCCCTAACCGGTTTGGCTCATTGGGTAGAGCTCGGTCTGCAGACTCAAGGGTCCCGGGTTCGATTCCGGTCAGGGGCATGTGCCTTAGTTGCGGGCGCATACCCAGTGGGGAGTGTGCAGGAGGCCAGCTGATCGATGTTTCTCTCTATCCCTCTCCCTTCCTCTCTGTAAAAAAATCAATAAAATGTATTTTTTTAAAAATATATATTTTTTTTAAAAAAAGAAAACAACCCAGCTGTACTACCTATTCGCTCTGTAATGCTGGGAAAGTCACTGAACTTGGCCTTACTTCATGCGGTGTGAGAATTAATTATGTTACACAGGGCTGGCAGAGAGCAGTCCCCTCTAAATTGTACCGATTAATTTTATTATTGTTAACCACTTATAAGAGAAATGCAAAGAAAGCTGAGTTACCATTTTTAATTTATCATATATGCTAAGATTCAAAAGTTTAACAACTGTAAAACAGGTATTTTCATACAAGGTGGGTATGAGAATAAACTGGTATAGTTGACATGGGGGATAATTTGACAATTTCTATCAAAATTTAAAAACACAATAACTCCTTTAATCCATCAATCTCATTTATATAAATTACCCTATAAGTTTATTAGTACATGTAGGATAATGATACAATATGTAAAAATATAAGGATATTCTAAAGACTAGAGAGAGCATTTGAGATCTTGCTTCCAGCATATGTCATCACTTTGGCTCAAATAAACTCATTTAAAAAAAAAAAAGTCTAGAAACAACTTAAATGTCCATCAATAACAACAATAACAACAAAGCAGTTTAAAATAGTGGTTTGGAGCAGAGCTTCTCAAGCTTTAAGAGATCACATTTAATAGATCAGGGAAGCACATGGGATTTTGTTAAAATGCAGATTTCTGCGGTAGGTCTGGAGTGGGGCCTGAGATTATGCATTTCTAATAAGATCTCAGGTGATGTCGATGCTGCTGGTCTAAAAGCCACATCTGAGTAGTAAGGTTTGAATATAGGTTCTATAAAAAGACTGCCTAGCTTCAAATCCTTCCTCCATTTACTAACAGTGGCAAGTTGGTAACCTTCCTATGCTCTGGTTTCTTCATTTGTAAAAATGGCAGTAATGATGGTATCTAAGCCATAGAGTTGCTGTAAAAATGAATCAAGTGTTTAAAATGAGTGAAGTGCTGGCACTTACTTAAGCATTCAGTAAAGGTTAGTTATTGCTGCTACCACCACTGCTACATACTACTGTCACTATTATGGCTACTATTGTACTATTTGAATATTGTTATCCTGTATCAAAATACTAATGTTCAAAAAGAAAAATGGAAAAAAATTTCCATCTAGACACTCACAAAGAAATACTGACAGTGAGACTCTGCTAACAACTAAAGAAACATGACTTTAAGAGGCCTTTTTGTACTTAACAAAAACAAAGAAAACTGATAAAACTCAGTACTGTTAGGAATGGCAAAAATCTGGTTGATATGTACGTTTTTATTAGCAGCATAAATTTGTTTTGCCTTTCTGAAGAATAATCCTGCAATATGTAATAAGTGCCATAAAAACCATTCATGTCCTCTGACTCACTAGTACGATTTTATACACACCTAAAAAAAATTCAGATGAGAAAATAAACAACTTGTAAAGCAATGTTTACAGAAGCATTCTATTCAGTAACAAAAGTGAAAAAAATTCCAATTCCAATTAAGAGGGAACAGTATATTCTGATGAAGGACGGAGGAAATAAAACTATAATGTGTCAAAAGTTAGCATATATTGTTCTGAGCAGCCAGCTTTAAAATTTTCTAGCTCCCTAGATACAATTTAATCATTTGCTGAAGTAGACCCTACCTCCAAGACATATGTGATTCTTAAATGGAAGAAATTAAATGGCAAATAATCAAATTTTAATAGAATAGAAAACCAAATGCCAACTACCAAATAAGTATATAAAGGGACAGCTATTCTATCCTGGGCTATATCCCTCACATGACACAGACATGCTGTTACCATGATTCTGGGCCCTGGAGGGTCTTTTGAACCACTCTGGAAGGGGATTGAAATGCCTTTCTGAAAATAATTTATATGGAAAAGATCTAGTAAAAAGGACTGATGAAAATAAATCTCAAACTATCAACTCAGGAACTACGATCATAGAAGAAAGCAAAGTAATTACACAAAAAAGGCAACCATAAAAAAAAAAATTCTAATTTTAGAAAAAGCTAAAATTAATTTATTAAATAAGAGTTTAATTAAAACAAAAGAATTTGTGATGAAGTTAGATGAATGTCAAGTTGAGATTTCCCTTGAATTAGGTTGATGACCCCATTATTCAAACCACTTTTTCAAAGCCTATTCCATGACTAACTGCTAATTAAGAGGCAACATCCTTAATGAGCTTTTAGCCATTTTTTTTGTCAACTAAATATATTTTAAGGCAAAATGAGTTTATTCCACATGAAAAAATTAAACATAAACTACCTAAAACAGGGGTGGGCAAACTTTTTGACTCGAGGGCCACAATGGGTTCTTAAACTGGACCGGAGAGCCGGAACAAAAGCATGGATGGAGTGTTTGTGTGAACTAATATAAATTTAAAGTAAACATCATTACATAAAAGGGTACGGTCTTTTTTTTTTTTTAGTTTTATTCATTTCAAATGGGCCGGATCCGGCACACGGGCCATAGTTTGCCCACGGCTGACCTAAAAGCATATCAATATGATATATATGTTTATAACTACTACTAGAGGCCCGGTGCACAAAATTCGTGCACGGGTACTGTTCCTAGGCCTGGCCTGCGATCAGAGCCATCTTCCCAGGCTGCCTGCAGCTGGCCCTGCCCCCCGCCACCACCCACCCCGGTTCCCCATTCGCCATCAGGTGATTGGAGCCTGACGGCTGGGGGAAGGGACCAAGGTGGGCGGTTCCCGCCTGCTCGCCGGCCCTGCCCCAGCCGTGGGTTGCCCTCTGTGCGTGGGGCAACTGGTGGGGCGGGGGCCTTGGCCTGGCACCACCCATGTCCCCCGCCACCCACCCCCAGCTTCCCATTCACCATCGGGCGATCGGAGCCTGCGGGCCGGGAAAGGAACCAAAAGGTGGTCAGTGTGCCTCATAGTGACTGGTTGAGCAGTCGTTCAGGTCATTTTGCCATTAGGGTCATATTACCCTTTTATTATATAGGACACTAACATACCTTTGCTGAAATTGCTAATGTGCAGGCAACTCCCAGTTCTCCACCTCCAACCACAGTAATTTTCTTTACTGCTTTATTCTCATGATTTGTCCAGTTCTTTGAATTTATGTCTGAGATACCTAGAAAGAAAAGTGAATGATCATGACAATTTAAAAATAATATCAAAAACCTTTTTAGCATCTTTCAAAAAAAATACACCAAGCTTCAATAACTTAGGACAGAAAGCACGGTGCTATCCCATAATAGGCACTCAAAAATATCTGTCAAACAAATGGTATACTAGAAAGCTAGGAATCTCTTATTAAATATTCCAATAAATAAAGACAACCCTTTAAAAAAGAAAATATCTTTCCAAACATTTAAAAAATATTAAATAAGACTAAAAAACAGGATTTCCATAATTCTGGAAAATATTCTGATTCTTACTGCTGTGGTTTAAAATGCAAAAATATTTAACACCTCACAAAATTTTGCAAGTATGGGTATTTTACTTTATACTCAGTGAGAATCACAGATTTTCTGGTCCAACAAATTGAAATGAGGCAAAAAGATACATAAAAATATAATAGAAAAATTTTGGGATCATTAATACAGGGGTCAGCAAACATAGGTTTATAGTTTTGAGTACGTGAAACACAAAAGTTTTCCCTATAATATTTATTTGTATTCTTTTCATTGTTATTGTTATTATTATTATTTTGTATCCATATTTATGATGTATCTTTTAGGTAACAATGGCTGGCAATTTAACCTACTTTTGCCCAGCCCTGTATATTCAAGTGGTTTTATACAAAATACAAACTATTTTATTTGTCAGTATAAGGGTAATCTTTTATATATTTTTTAAAACTCCTCACCTAAGGATATGTTTTTATTGATTTTGAGAGAGAGAGAGAAACATCAATAAAAACCATGACCATTCAGTTACAGGACAACACGCCAACCAACTGAGCCACACTGGCCAGGGCTAATCTTTTACATATTAAGAAAGCATATTCCTTAGAACTGTATAGTTAGGTAATTGGAACTATAGTAGGTAATACTTAGCCTATGATATAGGTACAGGAATTTTTGATTCGATACAGACTTGTGTGTGTATATATGTATATATGCATATATTTATTTATAAAAATAAAGTAGCAGAGAGTAAAGGCTATCAGTGAGAAATTACAAACTTATAACCCTCTGAATAATAAAAATACAAACCTTCAGTGATTTTTGCAATATAGGCTAGCAAGTCCACCTGCCGTGCCTCATCAGATGATGACAGAGAATACAGGGGAAGTTCCTCTTGAAACTTGGCAATCATTTCTTTAATTAATCCTACAACAACAGATTTAGGCTGCAGAATATACACAAAGGGAAGAGTTATGCAAAAATTTTGCTAACGAGTACTATCTTGTTAATCTATACATTGTTATAGTCAGCCAAAACAAACTATTGTATTATGTTCTCATTTTTTAACACTACCATAGAAATTATACCTTCAACTGTTTCATTACTTTTACCTTCAATTGTTTCAATATTTTTCACTGAAAAAGTACTTAATTCTTTTAACTGAAAAATGAAGGGAGAAATGGTAAATCCACATCTCCAAAATATAGGGTATAACATGAATGTGCTTATGAGCAGAGTATGTTTGGGAACAGTCTGTCTTTGTTTAAATTTTTACTTTTAAACAATTGCAAACAAAGAAAAATTGCAAAAATAGTAAAAGAATTTTCATGTACTCTTCACCCAGACCACTAAAATTATATCACATTTGCTTTCTTGGTCTCTTTCCCTCTTTTTACTTTTCTGAACCAATTAAGAGTAAACTGCAGATATTTTACCTCTTCATCCCTAAATACTGAGGAACAGAGTAAAGAGATAAAATGGAGTCAGTGTAGTCAAGCTGCTAAATCACTAAAATCAAGTAAGTTGAAGCATGAGGAAATGAGTCTATTCTTATTTTAATGAGCCTGGAAACCTAAACTTTTGAACTTTCCAGTCCTGTGTCAAAGCCTGGATATACATCAAAGCTCCAGGTAACTCTCTCATTACCCTCTAAAAGACTAAGGAAAGAATGGTTACATATCCAGATAACATTTAAATGCTCAGTTAAAACAAAGCACATAACAGATTATCTGATTTAATATACCAAAGGTCAAAAACAGGCAAAACTACAAATAAATATGTATATTACATAAGACTCTTTAATAGAGAGGGACTAGAAAATAATGCCCAATACTTGCTAGTAACTTTACATGTGCTTTATCAAGCAGTAAACAATAAAAAGACTAGAGGCCCGGTGCACGAAATTCATGCACTGGGGGGGGGGGGGAGCAGTTCCCTCAGCCTGGCCTGTGCCCTCTCGCAGTCCAGGAGCCCTGGGGGGATGTCCGATTGACGGCTTAGGCCTACTCCCCATGGGGAGCGGGCTTAAGTCAGCAGTCGGACATCCTTAGCGCCCCACAAGGCGGGAGAGGCTCCCGCCACCGCTGCTGCACTCGCCAGCCATGAGCCCAGCTCAGGGCTTCTCGCTGAGTGGCGCTCCCAGCACTGACCAGCCGGGGTAGCTCCTGTGTTAAGTGTCTGCCCCCTGGTGGTCAGTGCGTGTCATAGCAACCAGTTGTTCCACTGTTCGTTTGATTTGCACATTAGCCTTTTATTATATAGGAGGATAGGGAGCAAACAACAGTTGGCTCTTAGACTCGAAGAGAGCAGCTTCAGGCAGGCTGCTGTCATCAGGGTTCTGGGACTCGGGTATCCCTGGGAGCTCAATTTCAAATTACTCTTAATGACCATATGAAAAATATCATTGAAAGAAAATTCAGTAACTTATTTGTTACTTTTATTCACTAAGATCAAAGATAAATACTCAGAAAAATAAGAACTTTTCAAAGAAAATCCAAATTGATCTTACATGGCTCCAGTTTTGGAGGTAGGGCAAGTATATTCTGCCTTGAGCATCCACATGTTTTCCAACTGAGATTCCCATATTTGCAGTTGGCTTTAAGAAGCAAATGGGGGGAGCAAAAGGGTGAGAATCCAAAATCCACAAACGAATTGGTATGTTATATGTATTACCTATTTGAGACAAAATAAACATACTTCAAACAATAAGGCATGAACACTATGTATGGTATAGCTAGGTGGCATTTTAAGATGTGTAGTCAAGTTTATATATAAAGGACTTATGTAAATTGAGGCCTATTTTTCCCATTTCATCTATATTAACATTGGAAATATATTTCCATTAAATCACCAACATAATATTTGAGGAAATTTAATTAAGACATCCAACTCAATTCAATAAATATATTAAGGACCTACTGTGTCAGGAGTTTGAGATACACAATCTTCTATATGTAATCTTCTTCACTCTACCCGAGCAGAGCTATAGTACCTATCTTGACTGGTAGTGGACACGTATTTTTATACTTCTGCACTGAAGTTATTTGCTTACAGTTCTGTTTCTCACTTTACACTATAAACTTCTTCCTAAGAGAGGATTATGGATTATTCATTTCTATAACCCCTGCACTAAAGATAGTGCCTAACGTACTGGCTGCTCCATACAAGTCTCTTATATAATTAAGAATGACTAAATTAATAAATAAATGAAAAAAATAAATGAATGAGTAAGTTTGAATTTGATATTGGCCCTCAAGTTGCTCACTAATTGCAGGTACTATAACATACCAGCTAGTTTTGATACATAGAACTTAGAGCTGAAAATAACCTTAATAGTCGCCTTGTCCAGTGGTTCTTAAATTTTAGTGTACTGAGAAAGGAAGTTGCATGTATGTTCCTCCAATTGTAATCATGTATGTCATGCCTACCGAGAGCCAAAATCTGACTACCTTGGTTGTCAGGAAGCCCAAAGCGAAACCTAATGTAAGTATAAAAATAAAAATTCAACTAGAAATCTCATCAATTACCTTGGCTGTTTTATTTTATCTCCTGATATTTATTCCTGCTTTCATAGCCTTATTGCATATGTCTTTTGCTGTACTTAAGAACATGGATGCTCAGAAGCAAGAATGCACAGGTTTCACTCATTACTAGCTGCATGATTTTAGGCAACTTAACTTCTGTGTCTCAATTCCTTCTTCTATAAAATGTGAAAATAATAGCTCCTACATCATAGGGTTATTGTGAGGATAAAATTAATTAATGTATGTAAAATGCTTAGAACAGTATATGATATGGTAAGTACCATGACGGGTTGGCAGGGTTTGCATTTTGAAAATAGGCCCATTATAAGTAAAAATATTTTCTTTTCCACTGCAACCTTTTCTTACTAAGGAAATCCTCCTTCCACTGAAAGTTACTTTTTTCATCTTGCTTACTGCTCCCCTAAGCACAATGATACCCAGAGATGTCTGCAAATTAGAAACACTTAAGGAACTTCAAAACATACCAATATCCAGGCCACTCTCCTAAAGTTTCTGATTCAATGGAATGGGGACTGGATGTCATTTTTAAAAAGATTCCCATGTAATTCTGATGTTCAGCTAGGACTGAAAATTAGTACATTATAGAAATGTCCTGCCCTAACCGGTTTGGCTCAGTGGATAGAGCATTGGCCTGCGGACTCAAGGGTCCCAGGTTCGATTCCGGTCAAGGGCATGTACCTTGGTTGCGCACATCCCCAGTGGGGAGTGTGCAGGAGGCAGCTGATCGATGTTTCTCTCTCATCGATGTTTCTAACTCTCTATCCCTCTCCCTTCCTCTCTGTAATAAATCAATAAAATATATTAAAAAAAAAAAAAAGAAATGTCCTAATACCTGGTCTACTATTTCATATTAGCAGTTCCCAGAACCATACTCCTCTTCTACTTTTGTCTAGCTATTAAAAAAATGTTTTTATTGAGGTATGTCACCACAATAAGTCTAGTTAACATCTGTCACCATATATAGTGCCTAAGTATTTACAATACAGGTATAGAGAGAAGTAGCTATTAGTCTGTAGATAACTCTGTGATTATAAAGTCATGTGATCATAGCACCACAAAGTAACCATTTATATTGGCCCATTTGATAATGAGAAAGATAATACATTCTGACCTTCTGATCAGCAAGAAATAACTAGTGTGCATCACATTGAGTTAATATAATTCTAGTCAAAAGCAAAGGGGAAAAAAGGTACTTCCAATGAAAAGGTATTGCAGGTACCATTACTACCTTGAAAGACCCAGCCAGCATAAGAATCAATGACATAACTCCATGGCACTAGGAGAGTCAATGAGGGGCATCTTACCAATGGCAGTAAGATAACTGTTATGCCCTCCTGTTATCTCCCACATTGTCCTAGAAACTGAAATGCTACTAAGCAATGATTCATTTAAATTCACAAGCTCCTCCATTAATATGCAAATACCTTGAAATTATTGGGATGGGTAAGAATTGTGAACTCAATCAATCAACCAGTCCTTGGGGTGGATAGGAATTCCTTATCTCTCTTTCTAACATCTAACCATAAGAAATGCAGAACAGGTCCGAATATTATGACACTAAACAAATTTAAGTTCTTATTGAACTGCTCATTTAGAAAATTCCCACAATTTCTCAACATCCACACTTACCCTGATACATCACAGGAACAGTACCAGTGAAATTCAGCAAGTCTTTCTGGGAACTATCTTTGAAAACTGAAAGGGAAAAAAAAAGCTTCAAAATGTGCAATCAGAAGAAGGAAGAGGAATCAAGTCGACTCAATGGCAGGTAATGCACATATGCACATACACATGTACAGAAAACATAATTTCTAAATACCATTGTCTAGGAATCAATAAAAATGTTGAGAAAGGAAAATTACTACATTTTTTTTTCTTAGAAAGCAGAGCAGGTAGTTGAGTAAACACAGGACTTTGATACTGAAATCCCAAGTTCTAGGCCCACCTTCCCCACTTAAAGGCATGTGACTTTTGGTTACTTTAATCTCTTTGACTTTCAGTTTGATCATCCATAAAATAAAGATAATAAGACTGCATCATAAAGTTGTTATAAGGGTCTAATGATATAATGTAAAAAGAAGTAAAGGATTATAAAATGTGAGGACACTATTAAATAATTGTCACATGTAACAAAGCAGTTACAATCACTTTCAGAAATCAGGTTATAAGTTTTAGAATAAGAAAAAAAAATGTTAGTTTTATTTTTGAAAGTGACCTTTTAGAAAGATCAATAATTATTTTCTTTGGTTTCTCTAATTACATTATTCTCAACCTTTATTCAATCTTCACATCCCTGAAATTTCATCAATAACTAGGACACACTGAGGGAGAATGAATGCCCTAATCTCTGAACTAAATATAGAAAAGACTACCTTTGGCTTCAAACTATCATACTGCCTTGGAATGTAGTCCTTTTAGTACCTCGGTAACTATACTATACTTGTTTTTAAGTGGAATGGAATAAATAGAAGAAAAAATGCCAAAGAGTCCACAGTATTTTAGCTATGTGTATATGGGTTCATGACATGAAATGTATTTCCAAGTGTAGGCTGTGGTCAGAATTTTTGAAAGATAGTAAATCAAAATCTTTCTTAGGTAGCCAAACTCTCTGTATTAAGTGAACAAGATAACTAAAACTTCAACCATGTATGTGGTAAGCAGAATAATGACCTCCAAAGATATTTAATACCCTAATCCTGGGACCTCTAAATATGCTCATCTTACTTGGCAAATAGAGGTTTTAGATGTAATTAAGGACCTGAGGTGGGAAATTATCCCGTGCTATTGGAATGGACGTAATCGAATCACACTGGTCCTTAAAAGTAGAGGACCTTTTCTATCTGTGGGTAGAGGGAGATCGGACTACAGAGGATGGTGAGAGAGATGCAACATTGCTAGCTTTGAAGATGGAGGAAGGAGACCTGGAGCCAAAGAATGAGGATGATTTTAAGAAACTGAAAAAGGCAAGGAAATGGATTCTCTCCCAGAGCCTCCAAAAGGAACTGAGAACTGCCAACACTTCGATTTTAGTCCACACTTTCCATCTACAGTGACCTGTGCTGGACTTCTGGCCTACAGAATTGTAAGACAGTAAATATGTGTTGTTTTAAGTCATTAAATTTGTGCTAATTTGTATGGCAGCAATAGAAAATTAATACAATGTAAAATGTACTAATTTAAATTTCCTCAGAAATCACAGGTCACAAAGTGTAGTTCAAAATCAGGGGATAAAAGAGAGAAATTATAATTTTGTAGCTCACTAGGAACAAATAATAGTTTAACAAATAATGTAGCAAAAACTAGAGAATACAATTCTTACCATAGGTGTCCATGGAATATCTGAAATGTGGGAAAAACATATTTACATTCTTTAGTTCTTCCACAGTTAGATCCCTGAACTTGTACTGAAAAGAGAAAAATGAGCATGGAATAAGAATAAATCTATAGATGACAGAAAAATTACAATCAACATTTAACTGAACACTGACTGTGTACAAGGCTCTGAGTTTTACAAACGTGAGTAGTAATAACAACCCTATAAAGATGAACATGAAAGCTAGAGAATACAAATAACCTGCTGAGTTAGTAAATTAAGTAGGGAAGCCAGAGATGAAACCTAGGACCCGGGCCTTTAATCACTAAATCAAACTGCCTCCAAATACCTCCTGAAGGCTTAAGAAGTAGGGCAGGTGTATCTATCACTCCTGTCACCACTGTTCAAGATCCACTCTTATTCTTGAATACCTCATTCATTCATTCACTTGACACACCTTGAATTTCCCTCCCAACCCTCCTGGTACTGCATCTTGGGTTTCAAAGGGAGAACAGAAAAAAAAAAGCATGCATGGGTTTGCAGTCAGGCTGAGTGAATTGTCTCTTCATTCATCCAGATGCACTCCCAGAAACGTGACCTTGGTTGCCCTGTGGGCAAAATCATTTAATTTCTTTGAATTTTTCTTATTTGCAAAGAGAAATAATACCTATCTTGTAGACTTGTGCTGATGATTAAATAGAAGAAAAAGAAGTATGTTAAGAGTCTATTACCATTCTAAAAATGATTTTGAGGAGTCATTTACATTTACAACAATCCAAATGTCTATCAATTGATGAATGGATAAAATGTAATATATCCATAACACGGAATATTCAGTCATAAAAATAAAAGAACTGCTACAGCTTGGCCGGCGGAACCAGGGGCTCACGGTTTCATTCCTGGCCAGAGCATATGCCAGGGGTGTGGGCTTGATCCTCAGTGGGGGGCGTGCAGAAGGCAGCTGATCAATGATTCTCTCTCATCATTGATGTTTCTATCTCTCTCCCTCTCTGAAATCAATAAAAAATGTATTTTAAAAAAAGAATTACAACTAGAAAACTGATGAGAAGAGGGGCTGCCTCGGACTATCCAATGGTTTGGAATCAGAGAGCCTGAACCGGAAACTGGCGCTGGCCGAGCCCCAGAAATGTAGGTCAGACTCGTGGGTCAGCCCTCCAGCCAACCTTCCAAGGCTAAGGGGACCTCCTCTGGGCCTTCCAGCCCCGTCTTCTTTCCTAAATCTACTCCCGTCCTTCCTCCGCCGCAGGGTTACCGAGCACCTCCGCCGTGGGGAGGCACAGGCGAGGGCGGCGTTCAGAAGCACGAGTAAGGTGTGTAGGGACACAATGACCCCTCGATGTGATGGATCATCGATATTTCCGAAAGCCAGCAGAGCGAATGGATTGCCTCTGTCTTCCAGGCACTGGCATCTGAGTTGGACCTTACAGAGGCCGAGTGAACACTGCAAGTCAACAAAGAGTGGATGGAACAAGCCATTTCAGCGGAGAGAAAAGGGAGCGGCTCCAGGGTCAGGCAGGTGCCAGAAGCTACTAGAGACCGAGAGACGCTGGAGGCGTAAGGAGGTCTCACACCGCAGGAGGCTGGGGCCTCGGAGCCGCGGGTGCAGCCGGAGCCCGGCCCCGGGAGGGAGAGACCGGGGGCTTCCCCGA